GGGTAGCTTCCGCTGGATGTCTGACGCGTAATCCCAGCTGTCAGGGTTCTTCGGGACAATGAGTCTATGTCGTAATAGACTAGTCCGGTGTTCGGGTTGAAGGACCACTTTGGTCCTTGGGCTGGGAGGGGTTCCGTTGTCGGGTTCGTTCTGCGCTACCGTCGGTCAGAGGTAGCGGCTCCGGGTCGTTCAATGGTTCAGGCTAGATTGTCTGGATCTAGGCAGATCGACTGTCGAGTAGGCGAGCTCGACCTTATGTTAAGACGACACCTTCGAGGGTCGTGGTAACGTTCAGGTGCAAGGGCCTAGCAGGCAGGAGAGGAGACTCGAGTTCAGGGGTGAAGGTGATAGATAACCAGGTCGAGCTGAGGACCATCCTCAGCTCTCCAGGGGTCCTAATATACATAGAAGCCATGCTGAAACGGTGCGTACTAGGGGAGGCAAGCCTGCTGCCTACGGGACCGTAACAATGAGGCGCTGCCTCATGGTGTCCGCACCGTAGCTGTACCGTATCCGCGTGTAGTCCATCCACATCAGTAACATGAGGCGTAGGTGAGGCATAGGTGAGGTGCGATCAAAGTCCATGTCCGAGACGCCCGGACCGTTGTAACAGTTATGCGCTATCCAGAAGATCAAGGTACGATGGGGCGACGATTCTGATTGCACCGACTCACGCCAGTCTAGAGGTGCGCTCACTACCGCCGTGAACTGTATGCTTTCGCGACAAGAGGTCTCTCATCAGCAAGTCATGGCGGAGCTCATCGGAGGTGGGGATCGGTACACTAGTCACCGCTATCGTCCTTTGCATTTTGGCGCGTTTGATAGGGTCGTGCGGAGATACTGGTCCGCCGTTGAGGCTGTGCCTGGGTCCTCTGAGTCCACATCGGCTACGCACTCGGCGGGTGCTGTTGGAGCGGACGCGTGGGGTCCGCCTGAGGATGACGAGGTCGTTTTGTATCTTGGGAGTGGCTCTATTTCTGCAATTAATCAGCAGCAGGACTATTTATTTAGAGGGGCAGACGACGAATTCGATCGCATGTGTCTCTATGAATTTGTTGGGATGGTTGAGAAGGTCACCAAATGCAGCGAGGAGAACCGTTTGCGCAATCGCTCGAGCGGGAGGTCCAACATCGTTCGGGGGCGCAAGGAAGAGGCTCGTTGTGTCTTTTTGGATGGACATCCACAGCGAGCTACTCATGTCCTGAGAAAGCGGACGGTATGGGTTGTCCCCGTGGTTCTTGGCGATGGCTTGCCGCGGTGTGATAGTGGCGACCTGCAACGAGAGTCGTGGGCGCGGACTGTGTTAATTTTGTTTGTCCCTTGGCGGCGTCCGGGTGACTTGAAGGCGCCTTCTGAATCCTGGTACGCCGCTTACGAGCGTCGTCGGCCTGGTATCTGCTCTGAGCATGCTGCTTTCATTCGAAACATGAATGTCTTATCTGAGTGTAGGGACGCTCGATCAGAACACCGGGCTACTTGGCGGGCTGACCGTGCGGCGTCTCGTCTACGCGGAGAAGCTGTCGCCTTCGACGGCGAGCGTTTGGTATTGGCCGACGCTGTGGGTGGGCCCGACGTAGTATACGCTCCTCAGCTTGACGAACTGGATGTGTTCGATAGCGATCGGGTCGTTGGGGATGGAGTAGCGCGGGACACTTTGCTGTCGGCCCTCGACGCTGCGTTCGGTTTCCGTGTCAGAGTATCTCTCGATAAGTGCTTTTCTGGTAAAGGGGTGTCGACTGGGGGCGAGCTTTCTCTCGGTGATGCGATTGTCATCGCGGAATCAGACACGGTTTCTCTCGAAGTGGAGGCGGGGGTCATGCGTACTTTAAAAAAGCGTCGCCGGCCGGCGTCAAGTGACGACACCAGCGAGGGTCTTGTTGCTCAGCGCAGGCGCGTTGCTGTTGACGCGCGCGTCGACGTGACAAGGCTTCCTATGGAATCGGCTGGCGGCGGGTCTCGTATTGGCTCGCTTGGTGTGTGTGACTTTGACCCCATGCTAGTCATCGAACAGGTAATCCTTGAGCGTGGATTGAAGGCGAATGCCGAGCAGCGTCGTGCGTTTGAGATAGTTGCGCGTCATGTCTGCTTTGGCCAAGATCAGTTATTGATGTACATTGCCGGCATGGGTGGAACTGGCAAGACCTACGTAGTGCACTCCATTCTGAGGTTGTTTGAGCTGCTTGGAAGGCGACAAGAAGTTCTTGTCGCGGCGCCCACCGGGGCAGCCGCCCTCTTGATTGGAGGGTATACCATACACTCCTTGACGTTTTTACCAGAGAACCGTCGGAAATCGTTGAAAGAACTGGTTGAGGTATGGCGGCATGTGAAATATTTAATATGTGATGAGGTGTCGATGATAGGTGCACGTTTCATGAGCCAGATCTCGAGACGGCTGCAGCAGGGCAAGGGCGACGAGGGGGTGCTCGCCCAAGGGCCGTTTGGAGGCGTTAATGTCATATTTACAGGCGATTTCGCTCAGCTGCGACCGGTCAGGCAGTGTGCGCTCTACAGTCACCGGCTGCTGGTGTCGCCGGGCATGCAGGAATGTCATACCTTGGACGGAATCAGTGTGCTGAAGGGTGTTTATTTGTGGCGTCTTGTACGTACTGTCGTGGAGCTGAGACACAATCAGCGGCAGTGTGGCGACGTGTCATACGCAGAATTGTTGGAGCGTGTACGGCTTGGTCAGTGTAGGCTAGCACGGGTTGGTCCTAATGTAAGTGACGTCGACATACTGAGGGGGAGGATAATGAGCCGCCTGGCCGCCGATCAAAGTTTCGATTTGGGACCATTTGCGGACTGTCCGGTGATTGTTGGGCGGAAGCGAGTCCGCGACTTAATCAACGTCAGGTTGCTTGGGCATCATGCTGCCAATCTTCGTCAGGATGTTCACATTTACTATGCGTCGGACGTCGTGTCTGGGGATACTGCTTCCGGGTCGCTTCAGGACTTGCTGTGGCGTCTGCCTTCGTCTGTCACTGACGACTGTCTGGGGAGATTGCCGCTGTTTCCGGGAATGAGGGTCATGGTCCAGGAGAATCTCGCGTTCAGCAATAATGTCGTGAACGGCGCTCGAGGTGTGGTCAGGAACATCAGATACCGTGAGGATGCTCGTGGGCGTCGCTTTCCGGTAGTGGTATATGTGGAGATACCGGGCGCTGGAAATGTATGCGGAGGATTGGATGAGCATGTCGTTCCTGTTTTCTGTGAGACTACCACTTTTGAGTGGTCTGACACGCGTGAGGTTGAGCCGGTTCGGCGGTCGGTAACACGTACCCAACTTCCCCTGCTCCCTGCGTACGCGTATACCGACTACAAGTCGCAAGGGATATCGCTTGACCGAGCGATTGTTGATATTGCTAGTGCACAGAGCCTGCAGGGCGTGTATGTGATGTTGTCGCGCGTGCGCAGCTTAGACGGCCTCGTGATATTTCGCCCGTTCTCGCCGGAGAAGATTACTGTGCGAGCCTCAGAGGAGCTGAGGACGGAGTTAGCACGGCTACGTCAGCTCGACGAGGATACCACTCGACAGTACAACGTTGCGCGGGCCACCGGGATAGGATGGCCGGGTGTGCGGGCGTGAGCGTCCGTTCGCGCGAGCTCGCGCTGTGGCGGCATCGCCTCGGTATGGTCGACGGCCTGTCTGTTGGGGTATCACTGTAGAACACCCGTGAGCGGCCTATGTGGCGTGTATGGTATCGCGTCACCTACTCTGTTCCGACTTGAATACCACGACCTCCTTCCGAGTATGTTGTTACCTACATAATGCACTTGGTTTATAGATACCGACTCTATGTATTGGAATGTACTCACCTTTGTTACCTTCGACCTGTTCCGGTGGCGCTTGGTTGCCTCGCGTGATCGCCTCGGTTGATGATGCTGGTCAAGGGCGTCCCCTGGTGTTCGCCGACTGGCTGCGGATCTTGCGCGGTGCCGCGTGCGCCTATAACGCGTGGGAGATCGTTGCTTGTGACGCTGGTAAGTGTGCCAGTGTGTGGTCTCTCCTAGATCTTACATATCATCCTGTGCAGGCGCATTTTATGGTGATGGTCTGCAGTGTCGCGATATCATTATGGTTCTATCGGATGCGCTACCAGTGTACATTGATGACGTGTGCGATGTGATTGTTACGATTGATGAGGAACGAAGAAATCGTTTCTTATGGGGTGAGCTTCCTGCCAACTCGCGTGACGCCAATCCGACCCCGTGGGAAAAATTTTCTTACCCATCATTAGATTTGAAATAGGCGCCACATACAAAACTTTATAATGTTCATGGGGTTAGGGTTCCCCTTCATTAGCACAGCTTAGGGTTAGCCTTAGATAGTTGCTAATCAGATTTCTTACCAAGTTGAAACCCACTCCATGGGCGCTCATGTAACCCTAGTTGCACACAGGTCAACACGTGATTGCATTGCAGGATATAGAGGCATGGACAGTCGCGTCACCCTTGGTAGCAGCAGATACAAAGCAATAATATGGAAGTAGAGAGAGAAATTGCGAGATACTTTGTATGAGGCCACTTTCACTCCCTAAAATACAGACATCAGTGCTGTACTAATAACATATATAAAAGTGCATGACTTACGCGCGGGCAACCAGCACAACACCGTACAGGTTCAGGCTGAGGTTGATCTTGTCGTCGCGAAGGTACGAGGACGTGGAGTACAA